GTTTCTCTGCCTCAAGTCTTTCCAGACTCCAATTCACCTTCCACAAAGCTGTCAAAGTGATTATTACTAAATTATCTATTTGACTATCTCACCCTTCCTTCTACACAGTAAACTCCTGTGGCTCCTTATTACCCCAGGATCAAATAGAAACTCCTCTGTTTGGCTTTTAGAGCTTTTCTTCACACCCTGACCCTTTCCTATTCTTCCAATCTTCTTACACAATACTTTCCCTCACACACCTGTATGGTCTAGTTAGACTGGTCTACATGCTGTTCTTCACATTTACAGTACCATTTCCCATCTCCATGTCTTTGCATTCGCTATCTATCCCAGATACTTTCATTCCCCTCCTTGGTTGTTAATGAATACCATTATTAAAATACAAAGAAATGTAAATATTTGATTAATTGGTTGATCCCTAAATATTCTGTTCTCAAGTTCACGATTTTGCCTTCTATAGAATTCATGTTCTTTCAAAAGTACAGTGTAATAGAGTGGTGCCTTTATAAAGAGGGATATGTACATAAAAATAATCACAAATATACATACTCTCACCAACACTTGTCAGGCATAATCCTCTTAGCCCTGTGCACCAGCTCAGTCAATGGGGAGGGTAAAGGAATTAGATTCCTAGTTTAGCTTGGTTCCCTTAGAGCAGGGTTCCAGCTCCAAGTTCAAAAAGCTCCAGTGGGCTTGAGTCCTAGACAGACTGGCTTCCCAGGGCTTCATTGTTGAGATGACTAGCTGCTGCATCATCCCTCCTGAAATCCTGGCTCCACCCTGGGTACTGACTCTAAGAGATCAGAAGAAAAGATGGTAGAGAGATCAAATGACTGGTGGAACTACTTTTAAAGGCACAGATAGTCAATCAATGAGGCTACCCTCACCCACCACAGCTAGATGGTGCAGTGGATAGAGTGCTAGGCCTGGAGTCAGGAAGACTCAAGTCCTGAAGGAGATGGGAGTACCAGATCATCTTATTTGTCTCCTGAGATACATGTATGTGAGTCACAAAGCAACAGTCAGAACTGAAAATGGAACAACTGATCGGTTTAAGATTGGAAAAGGAGTAGAGCAAGGCTGTATATTGTCACTGTATTTATTTAACTTATATGCAGAGTATATCATGAGAAATGGCAGTTTGGATGAATCAGAAGCTAAAATTAAGTTGTTGGGAGAAATATCAGCAATCTCAGACATTGCAGATGATACCACTCTGATGGCACAAAGTAAAGGATAGTTAAGAAGACTCTTGGTAAAGGCAAAAGAGGAGAGTGTAAAAGCTGACTTGAAGCTTGACATAAAAACAATAAAGAAACCAAAGGTCATGGCCACTAGTTCTATCACTTTTTGGCAAATAGAGGGAGAAGAAATGGAAGCAGTGTTGAGTTTTATGTTCTTGGACTTAAAAATCACTGCATACGGCAACTGCAACCATGCAATTAAGACATTTGTTCATTGGAAGGAAAGCTATGGCAAATCTGGACAGCATACTAAAAAACAGAGACATCACCTGGACAAAAAAGATCTGTATAGTCAAAGGTATTGTTTTTCCAGTTGCAATGTAAAGCTGTAAGAGTTTGCCTACAAGGAAAGCTGAGAGCTATGGAATTGATGCTTTCAAATTTTGGTGCTAGAGAAGATTTTTGAGAGTCCCTTGGACTCAAGGGGATCAAATCAGTCAAAAGTTAAAGAAATGAATTCAGGGTATTTACTGGAAGGACAAATACTGAAGCTGAAGCTTAAATACTTTGGTCACATAATGAAAAGACAGGATCCACTAGAAAACACCCTGATGTTGGGAAAGATTGAAGGCAAAAGGAAAAGGGGATGGCAGAGGATGAGATGGGTAGATAGTGTCATCATGGTAGCAATGAACATAAGCTTGGATAGACGTCAGGAGAGAGTAGAGGCTAGAAGGGCCTGGTGTGCTATGGTCCATGGAGTTGTGAAGATTCACATATGACTGAACAACAATTAAAAAACTCTCACTTGTGTGCTAGGGGACACAGAGATCTCTACCTTCCTTAAACTAGGTATGCTCAGAAGCAAGGTTACAATTGTCTTTTGCTTTTTTCTGCCAAATGTTCCTCTACTTGTGTATTTTTGTTCTAAATCTGTAATTTTTCAGAGCCAATGTTTCTTTGGAGGGATTCCCTATCATTTAGAGACAGTAGGGTACAGTGGAGAGAGTGCTGCATTTAGAATCATGGGATGTGGGTTTCAAATCCTTACTCTGCTATTTATGACCTGTATAAGCTTAGGCAAGTCACTTCAAATTTCTGGACTTTTGCTCTTTTTCTATATAAAAAGGAACTTGAATTCCTTGGACTTTAAGGTTTCTTTGAGCTCTAAATTGATCATTTCCCCCTTTGCCCCTTAATATTTCTAATGTAAACTTAAAAGAAAAAAAAGAAAGTGACAAATATTAGATGATGTGTGGAAAAATCGGGACACTAATTCATTGTTGGTGGAACTGTGAACTGATCCAATCATTTTGGAGATCAATATGGAATAATGCCTAAAGAGTTATTTAACTGCCTTTGACCCAGCAATACAACTGCTAGGTATATTTCTGAATATGATGAGGGAAAAAGGAAAAGAACCTGTATGTGCTAAAATGTTTATGGCAGCTCTCTTTGTGGTGGCAAAGAACTGGAAACAGGGGATGCTTGTCACTTGAGGAATGGCTGAACAAGTTGTGGTATATGATTGTGATGGAATACTATTGTGCTATAAGAAATGACGAGTCAGTGATTTTAGAAAAACATGGATAGAATTGCACAAAAAATAAGGAGCAAAATGAGCAGAACCAAGAGAATGTTGTACATAGTAACTGCCATGTTGCTTTAAGAACAACTTTGACCAAATAAATCATTTGGATTATTATAAGTAAACAAATTAACTACAAAAGACATATGAAGGAAGATGCTATCTGTATCCAGAGAAGGAACTAATAAATAGAAGTATGTATAGAATGAGTATATATTACATATACATATACATACACATGTATGCATACATACATAATACATATTTATATCTAATAGGAGCCATCTCTAGAGTGGAGGGAGAAAGGAGAAAAAGAAATTTACATGATAAATATATTACATATTTAAAATGAATAGCAAGTTATACATAATAGATTTTCAGTTTCATGTGTAATCATCCATTTTTTATTATACTATGTTATGGAAATGCTTGTTTTATTCCATAAATTAAAAGTAACAAAAAAGGAAAAGAGTTGCATTTCCATTTGGAGCAATACTGGAGTGTTTTACTGTTTTGTGGTGATCTTAAAACTACAGATTTATCTTTTTTTCAACAGGAATTTTGGGTTCATTTTCATTCTAATATGTAACGTGTACCAACACACACATATTCTATGTCTCCTATCTTCCCTGAGTTTTTATCCTTTTTTTTTCATTCTTGTGAGTTTTACTGTTTTTTTTTTAAATTTGCTCTTTGCCTTTCAGCCTATTTCCTTTATTTGCAGTGACTTATCTCTAGCTCCCCTTTTCACTCTTTGTCTTTTCTTCTTTCCACTGCTGCACATTCCCCTAAGGCTGAGCATACAGCAACTGAGGAATGTGGGGGCCTATATGGATACCGTATACAGCCTACCATATGGGAAGAAGATTACCCCATGATGAATTTTTCATGCCCTTTCTCTCAGGCATGGAAGACCATGAGTCATCTCTTATAACTAGCTACATGTTATTGTCTTCACTCCCTCTACAATTTTCCTACTTTTGCTTCCAACAGTTGGGCAGAATCAACACTTTTGGAGTATTGTTGTTGTAAAGCAGAGAAGATACAGACCATATTATTTGATAAACAATTGTTTATTGTCAATTATATTGAAGTTCAATTTTCAAAATTTACCAAGTGTTCTATAGTAATGAAGGTTCAATAATCTTGAATTTGTTAACAGTCAATTATAAGAGCTATACAATAATAACATACATTTCCCTTTCACTTCCCCTTATAGATGCCATTCTCCTAAGTGGAAAGTCTGGTGAAAGGAAGAGGTAGTCTAAAGTCAGAAGTTGAAGAAATTATTCCCTATATTTCTTTTCAGACTGGAACAGTTTCTGAGTGAACATCCCTTAATGTTGTTAGAGCCCATATTTCTGCTCTTTGGATAAAAATGGGAGACATTTCTATCTTTCAATAAGAACCTTTTTATCCATTTCTGAGGGAGAAGGGCATGGTGCCAAGTCCTCTTAAAGACTATTGATTTAGGCAATGGCATCAGGGTTTGGTGACCATTATGAACTTAAAAAGTGCTGAAGATGCATCCCTGCTTTATAATCTTCATTCCCATTCCCATAGTAGAGCACCATATTTGGGACATAGGCTTGGAAGTACAAATTTGGAATTCAGGACCAGGAATCTAATCAACTGTCTTTTAGCTCCTTGGAGATTATTGATTAACCATAATAAAATTCACAACCACAAAGGTATTCCACAAATTGAGTTCTCAAATGAAAAAAAATGCCATTGTTATGTCAAACACCAAAGACACTTCCTAATTTGGTTTCCCAATCAATCACTGAGTATGTTTAGCTTCTTTCATTTATTCTCCTCTTGATGCCCTAATCAAGGAAACTACAAGCTACATCACTAAATGACACAACTAGAAGAAATCAAAAGCAAATAGAAAGAAAAGCATAAAATTCTATGTATGATAGAAGAAAAAAAAAAGATTGCTCTGACCCTAGAAATAAGTGTTGCAATAAAGCACTGGGTCATAGCTTGTGTTGTTCATTATTTTTCTTGTTTCATTGGTCAGTCTTCTGAGATCATTTCATTGAATAATAAAATCAAAATTCCAGGATATAATGGTAGCCAAAAATGTATGACCGTAGAGTGAGAAAATGAATAGGTGTCTCTCATATGTGGATCCACAAGTCAAAGAAGAATCATAGAGGTACAATATGTATTACTACTAAATCTACTAGAAGAGAAAACATAGATCCTTTAGGAGTAGAATGTGGCTACTCATAGGAAGATTCCTGCTCTTTCTTTAGAGAAGACTGATTTGAGTCATATTCAGAGCCAAAGCCTGAGCCATGTTGCCCGGAGCTGGAGGACTGCTGGGAATTGGAACTATGCCCACGTGGACTAGATCCATGACCCTTATTGCTTGATGATTGACCTGAATCTGATCCATATTGGCCAGAGGTAGAGGAATGACCGGAGCCAGACCCAGACCCTGACCCTGAGCTATATTTCCCAGAGTTAGAAGACTGATGGGAACTGGAACTATGTCCTTGATCTTGATAAGTTCCAGATTGCTCACCTGAGTTGGACCTATGTCTGCTCTGAGAGGA